TGGAGTACTATTCAGTCATAGAAAAGAATGGAATCCTGTCATCTGCAAAAACATGAATGGAACTGGAAGTCGTCATGCTAAGTGAAATAAGCCAGGAACAGAAAGACAAACTTTGCATGTTCTCACTTATTTGTGGGAGGTAAAAAAATTTAAAACAATTGAACTCATAGAGTGTAGAATGATGGTTACAAGAGGCTGGGCAGGGGTGGAGAGAGTGGGAATGGTTAACAGGTACAAAAATATAGTTAGATAGAATGAGTATGATTAAATAGAATAACAGGGAGAGCACAGTCAACAATAATTTATTACACATCTTAAGATTGCTAAAATAATATAATTGAATTGTTTGCAACACAAAGAATGGATAAATGTTTGAGGTGATGAATATGCCATTTACCCTGATGTGATTATTATGCACTGTATGGCTGTATAAAAATATATCAGGTACCCCATAAATCTATACACCTACTATGTACCCACAAAAATTAGAAATTAAAAATTTATGTAACAAAAAATTTGCAGAGATTCAAATAAGAATACTGCAAATTAATTACTAAATTGAAAATTTGCCCAGTTTACTGGTCTGTGCCATGTTGATTCTAAATGCAGGTTCTCCTCAATAAGGTACATTTTATTTAAATAAGTGCAAGTTAAAATTGTTGAGTATATCTTAGCCTTCTTAGCTGGAAATCACATTCCTTGAAGGCAGAGTTTGTGTTTGTTGCAATGAATCTCTCCCAGTGTCATATGAAATCCCTTGTATATTATATTAGTTTAAACATTTATTATATTAGTAAAAATACATATTTACTAATTATTTTAGGGTAGTGGGTGCTTAATCAATGCTTATTTAACCAAATTTTTTGGTACCTCATTTTTTGTGACTTGTATGCATTTTTTTCTATGACCGTGGATGTAGCTGGAAAAGCAAATCAGTTGCCTACTTAAAATACTTCATTAATTGCCTCTTACTTCTAGGACAAGACATCAAATTACTTCCCTAGCACACAGGGCTCTCCATATTGGAGTGTGGTCTCAGAACCCCTCAAAGACATCCTGGGCTTTTTTTTTTTTGAGATGGAGTCTTACTCTGCCACCCAGGCTGGAGTGCAGTGGCACGATCTTGGCTTGCTGCAACCTCTGCTTCCCAGGTTCAAGTGACTCTCCTGCCTCAGCCTCCTAAGTAGCTGGGATTACAGGCACCCGTCACCACGCCCAGCTACTTTTTGTATTTTTAGTAGAGAGATAGGGTTTCACCATGTTGGCCAGGCTGGTCTTGAACTCCTGACCTCAGGTGATCCACCTGCCTCGCCCTCCCAAAGTATTGGGATTACAGGTGTGAGCCACCACGCCCAACCTGGGCTTTTGATTGTATACCTCTGTTGTCCTACCTGACTACCCTTCCTTGTCCTTACTGGGAATTCCAATGTACCTTGGACAGGTTCCCCAATCCTTTGTCTTTTAAGGCCAAGGACTTTATTTTCTGTCTCTACATTTATGATCCAGAAGCTGCTCATTTGTAATGGGTGATCAGGAAAACATCTGTTGAGTTGAATAAATGTGTACTCATGACTGGAAATTATTTACATAATACCATGTGTATAATTTAACTGCCTGATATTTGAAAATGCAAATGTATTTGTTATTTGAGATTACTTAAAATATGTGACCCTTCAAAAGGAGCTAGCTTTAATATTTGGGAGGAGTAATGCTTCTTGAAAGAGATTCCCTTTAAAGGCCTATGACACTAGCATGTGAATAAAGTGCAAATAACACCATTAAAAAGGTCCTTGCAGTTGGCAAGTAGTAATTTACTTAGATGGGTCATCATGTTTTTAATTAAACTCTTTCCTACTATGCAATAATGAAAAGTGCTTAGAGTGGTCATAGGCCTGAGGACATCCCCCAAGTTGCTAGCAGAGGAACAGGATTTTGTTGCAAGCTGAATGGGCCACCAGTTTGAGCTGGGGGATTTTTCAGCTTCAATGATCTCACAGTATAGGCATTCTGATTGAGGTTATTATTTCCAGCAATTGTTTTCTAAAGAATGATTTTTAAAATTCAGGTTACACATCGATGTAATTTGGGCTTAAGTTTACAGTAAATTAGCCAGGCCAAAACAAGGTAGCAGTAAGAAAACTTCCCAGGAAACCTAGTACTTTTGAATGAAAACAAAGAAACAAAAAAGAATTAGTTACAAGATTTTAGCTAAATGAGTGCTTTAAAAATAATACAATTCAGTTAACATGTATTTTTCTTTAGCATAATCTTCATGGTTATAATAGTTTTTACCAAAAGGAAAGAAGGCAGATGATTTTTTAAAATATAGATATCTTCAGATACATTTCTAAGAAAACTTCAGGAAGAAATCATGGCAGTTTAGCATGAATTACGTTGGTCTGAAATTGTGTCATTCACACAGAAACTGTAATGTTCTCCTTGATGTCAGATCAACATGTTCAGTACTTGGCAGAAAAAAAGAAAGTGAATGATTAGAGTGGTGTTAGTCCATTTGTACTGGAATACAAAGAATAAGGACAGATAGACGGAAACAAACCTAATCTAGCATAAAGGTAACAATAAAATAAAGGGAAAAGTAAAAGATAATTCGTTTTTAGATTAAAGGAATTTAAATTTAATATATGTGGTAAGTAGAAATTATCTTATCACCATATTTTCTCTCATTCAACTAATAATTATTGCCAGGGAACGCAATGTTTTGAGCTGCAGACAGTGCTAGCCATATAAAAACGTATAAAATATACTGTCATACCTTGAAGGCCCCTTATAGCTGAGAAGGTAAGATTTAAAAGATGAAAAGAGCTTAACAGAATAATTAATAACTAATATTGCATAGCACTCAAAAGTGTAGAAGGTATTTTTACGTGCCATTTTGTAAGTTTAAAAGTAAATTTCTAGATTTCATTCTTCTGTTAGAATTTCCTTTAGCTTTGTCTTTGGAAAACAACATTAAATTTGGGATTGCGATTACTTCTTAGCTTTACTTCAGTTTTCTCAACCAATTCTTAGGGGTTCTGGTCCCTAATGCTTCCAATTTCTATGATTCAACATCTCATTATTACCTCAGAGGATAATGCCTCTGAATTTGCAAAGTGAATTTAAATTTTAAACTTGTAAAATACATTTATTATGGCAATAACAGATCCTAGAATTTTTTTTTTTCTCTTTGAGACAGGGTCTCACTCTGCCACCCAGGCTGAATGGAGTGCAGTGGCAGGATCACAATTCACTGCAGCCTCAACTTCCCTGGACTCAGGTGATCCTCTCACTTCAGCCTCCCAAGTAGTTGAGACCACAGGCCTGTGCCACCACATGTGGGCTAATTTTTGTATTTTTTTTTTTTTTTTGTAGAGATGGAGTCTTGCTATATTGCCCAGGCTGGTCTCTAAAACTCCTGGGCTCAAGTGATCCTCCTCCCTTGGCCTCCCAAATTGCTGGGATTACAAGTGTGAAGATCCCGGAATTTCTAGGACAGAAATGATTGTAAACGTTTTATCATGTTGTCAGATCATGTCACCTGACTTCTCAGAAAATATCTACCTTACCTGTGGCCTCCACTTCCTTATCATTCAATTGATAAAATCTTTAATCTGAATTTTCTAATATATATATATATTCTGAATATGTAGTTATATATTACATATTCTATTATATATATGCTGAAATTATATTTTCAAAGATGCCCTTATTATTAAATCTGATAGTCTTTATTCCCCCTTCTGTTTTACTTAGCCTCTTTTCCATTCTATTCATTGGCCTTTCTTCTTTAAATATTAAGGATTCTAGAGATCTGGAAATTTAAAGTCTCTAGAACCTTAAGGTCTCTGGGCCTTGAATTTACTACCTATGTATGTGCTTCCAATAGCTTATATTTTTGTGTCCTTTCATAAATTCTTCTTAGCCCATCACCAGCCTCATTCTTCCAAAGCATAAATGGCCTTCCTTATGGGCTGCTTGAGCCACACACATTTCTTAAAGACTCAGAAATACTCTGCATATCCACCTCTACTTCTCAGTTCTAGGACTCCTCCAGACTGAATTATTGCCTTCTCCGAGCTTTCGTTCAACTCACATCTTCTCTTTACAGCTTGCTTTGCCCACAGTAATCGTTTTCCTTTAGATTCTCAAGCATTTGACTCTCACTACCTCATACTATTAACTTTGTGTTCGTATCTCACCCCCTCAGTAGAATGCAAAGTCCCTGAGGATTAGCGCTGTACTTTAGCTTTTTTTTTTTTTTTTTTTTCGCTTGGTAGGGGACAACGAACGCAATGCTCAACACATATTTGTTACCTAAAAAAGGCACATGTTCCATGATGTCAACGTAATCTTGTTTAGGTGAGTATATTAAACTTTTTTCTTTTCTCCTTTTTGGCTGCTGCTTGTGAGTTTGATCATTCTTGTTATAAAATTACCACACGCAACCTTTTGAGAAGTATTAGAATTAAAAATGGCAAAAGGAAATAGTGGTAATGGATACGTACAAGGTTACTACTACGGGCCACTGTGCTCTGCATTGCAAGATCGGTTTCAACATACTCAAGAAATTGAAGTTCAGCCAGGTTAATTTATCCAAGGTCCCACAAAAAGTAAATGGCTGTGTTGAGTTTCAAGAACCCATGTCTGCCTGGTTCCAAAGGGCAAGTCAGTTGCAGTGCTGGATGACTGAGAATTACATAATTTCTTCAAAAAGCACTAGGCACAATAGTTGGCGTTCAACAAACGCTCACACACATCTGTCCTGGAAATTGGGTCTATTTAAACAGGAGGGGGAAATAAAGCTTGCTGAAATAATTATACTTCTTTGTAACTCCCAGACTCATGTTTGACTGATTATAATAATCCTATGCCCTCCTTCACATTCGCGCTAGAAAAAAAATGCTGGCAATATTTCAAATCATGATGCCTATTTTTCTCTCGATCAAGCAACAACTCAAATTATACTTTAAAAAGAAATAAAGAAAATTAGATAAAGTTGCCTTCAGCTGACAAGAGACTAAAGGAATCCAGTAATTTATTTCTGTGAAACAATTTATCTGATGCCTAGGTTTCTCCCCCTCCCGACGAAGACCAAATGCTTCTGATCCGTAAGTAACTTCGCAAGGTAGACTGAGGGTCCTGGCAGCATCTGGGCCTCCCTTGAAGGTCGAAATGAAGCGCGCTCGCCCTCCTCTCCGCCTTTTCCGTTTAAGGTCCTCCAGAGGCTGCTTCGCTGCAGAAAGTAACAACGCGTCGCCGCCGCGGAAAGTGGGGCAACTTTGCCTGTTAGCAGAAACCTTTTGATCCGTCTGAAGCGACAAACCAGACCCAGCGCCCGCCCAAGCTGTTCCGAGCCTCCGGGGGGAAAGCGAGCCCAACCTTCTCTGCACCGCTTCCTCAACCGCTCGCTGCACCTGGACGCGGGCGGCGCACGACCCCCGGCCGTGACGTCACCGCACCTGGCACCAGCCTGGGGGTCCGGGAGAGAGCCCTAACGCGACGGGGCGGGGTGGGGCGGGGAGAACGAGGGCGTTCTCGCGAGATTTGCCTCCTCCCGGACCCAGTTCCCCGCACCTTCTCGGCCTCTGTCTGGGTCTCCACCTTACTCTACGGTGTCGCCTTTTTAAACCGCGGGTGCTAAGAGGCGAGGGGCGGGCTCCGAGGCTGGGCGGGCGCTCGCGGTTGGAGCCGAGGGCCTGGGCGAACCGGCGGGTTCCTCCCCACTACGGGAGTTGCCAGGGTGGGAAAACCGCGGTCTGGGCGGGCGGGGGAGGGCCCTCCCGCCGCCGTGGCTTCTGCGGAGGCCAGGGGTGAGGAGCTGTCGCCGCCTCTGCCTCTGCCTGGCGGGTCGCGCTGAAGGAACTGGCAGGAGAGTGCTGCGGGCGGATGGAGGCGAGTCTTCGCCCCGCCTGAGCTCAGGAGGGGCTAGCGCGGAGCGCGGGTCCCGCCTCCAGCCGCGGGAGCGGCCGCGCGAGCCACCGGAGGAGGAGGAGGAGGAGCAGACGTCGGCTTCTCCCCGGGAGAGCCCCCAGCATGGGTAAGAGACTCGGGCGCTTCCAGTCGCCCGTCCGGACCTTCCAGATCCGGGGAGGCTGTGCCCTTTCTTGGCCTTATGGGGAGGCGACGGCGGTCAGCCCCAGAGCGGCAGCATCCCACCCTCTCCATTCTCCCCACCGCCCCTTCTCGCCCTGCCTTCCACCTTGCTCTTCTCACGGAGAAACTGGTGGGAGAGCTCGCGGGTGCTTTCCCTCGCGCTCCCTTCTCCGCCTCTTTTCCTGTTCACCAGAAAGGTGCGGAATGTGGGGCGGGGGCGCTTGGCCTCCTCTCCTAACCCCTTGCCCAGCTAAAATCGGACCTGACCTTCCCTCCCTTCCTCATCCCCTTCCTTCCCTCCCCCTCCTCGTGGAATGGGGGAGGGCGATCGAAAAACTTGATAAAGTAGCACTTTCAACTTCTTTATTTTCTGCGAGGCTTTGTATACATTTAAGGAGAGAGAGAAATTTGTTCAAAAACTTTTTTTTTTTTCCTGCTAAAACTCGCAAGGGGTGCCTTAAGGACAAGAAAGCTTATTTGTTTTACTCGGGTTCTACCTAGGCAAGTGTGTTGGCACTTAAGCATGCAGTCTGCTCCCGAGGACTGGGTTTGAACTTCAGGGTTGGATCCTTTGAGGAGCAGTTTCCTGTTTGGAGTTAGACTTCCTTGCCGGAGGAGAGAAAAATACATGTTATTTACTATGCGCTTTACAGTTTTGTTTGAAGTTGGAGAAGGCAGAATGTGTGGCAGTCCGGGTTGAAAAGGAATTTTGTTAAGTGGTGTAACAGTTCTTTTGATAACGAAGTTCAGTGTGGGCTAGGCATTAACTCCCTCAATCCTTTAAAAATTAAAAGCAACTTAAAAAAGGATAGCTTAAAAAAGTCAAAACGCGCTCTGTCACTATAAGGCGGAGAGTGTTCTGTCAGAGTAAACCGAAGTTTGATTTTTGTAGAGCGAATCAGGAGGACCCAATCACTTTTTGCATTTGAGTGTTGGTGCTGCTTCATATCAACAAACCATTACCGAAATGAATAATTCACGTAACTAACAAATGATTTAGAAGCAGGACGATTACAGACTACTGCTGATGTGGCACCCTCTGTCCACACTTTGCTTTGTGGGGGATGTTTTGAGCATATTGTTTACAGACACTCGCCTAGCTATCCTCTGTTTTCTTAGACTTACCTAATTTTAAGTTCCCTCCTGCACTTCCCTCCTGCTTTCAGGTAACATTTATACTCAAAGTGCTCTTGAGCTCAAAAACAGTGAAATAAAACATTCGCTATTTGGAATTTTCAAATGAATTATTTTATAATTGATTAGTTGAGCTTGCAGGGTAATTGTGGGCGTATTCTTTTAAGCATGAAATTATAAAATCACTTTAACCGCTTTGGATTAAGATAATACTAAAGTTAAATATACAGTTCTTCTCTGTCTTAAATGGGATGCAGAATAAAATTAAACTTCTTTGGATGACCTGGGGATGCAATCTTGTTTTGCGTATAGGGCTGTTGAGCTAAATTCTAAATATTTGTTTGCATTTTGAAATTATTTAAGTACTTTTTTTTTTTTTTGCTTTGCTATTGGATGTGCTTGTAACTGATTAGTGTCCCCGTCATTTTTCCTTTTTTTTTTTTTTTTTAGAATTGTGGAAATCATGTTCAGGTTTGTGATTCTGCATAGGAGAAAAATGAGTATGCCCTTACTTAATGTGTGAAGTTGTCTCTTGAGAAAAATAATTGTGTACCAATACTTGGACATTGGAATACCTGTTTTGATTGTCCAGAGGCTTTTTCTTTGTGATTTATTTGTTGTGTTCTGTTTAGCTGAGTTTTCGTATAGACTTGGATATCAATGTTGGTATACTCTCGACTACTTAGAATGTGTTTTGAGGGTATATTACTTAGGGCATTTGTGGTGAAGTTTTTGTAAAGTGTTTGTGAAACATTTCCATATCATTGTATTCTTTAAGTTTATTGGTCATGTAATAATAAAATTCTCAAGTTCACTTAAAGGGAGTTTGCTCTTTAATATAAATCTCATTTATTTGGTTTTATCAGCCATCCTTTTTCCTTACGATTTTAAATGCAGCCTAAAATATTTACATGATATTTTATCTAATTTGTCACAAAATGAAAAAATATTAAATTTTTTGGTGTATGATAACTTGGATGCCTATTAAGTGGTGGTTCTTATGCTTAGGTGGTACAGCTAGAGAGTGAAAAGCATGGGCTCTGGACGGAGACTACTTGAGGTCAAATTCTCTTCTGCCTACTAGCTGTGTGACTGAGCGCATCACTTCTCTGTGCTTCAGTTTCTTAATCTATAAATGGAATAAAATATCAACCTCATAGGTGGTTAGGAGGATTGAGTGAGTTACTACTTGTAAAGTGCTTAGAACATTGCCAGTGGTGGTGGTTATTTTCATTTTCAAATGATTTCCCTAATTCTTGTACCAACTTGGAAAAAAAAATCCTCAATTTTTAACCTTTGTTAGAAGTAGGATATTTTCTTTAAGTAAAGGACCAGTGGGATGAGATGATATTGCACTAATGCAGAAATTGAATTTTATGTGACATAACCTTACAGAAATCATGTAGATACTTTTTTCAATGTTGGAGGTACTGTGCCAAAGTCCATTATTGGTAAGAACTTCAGGTGCTTAGGAAAAACTCTTAAGTGGGATGACTACTAGTAGACTTATTTGAATTTTATGTTAAAGTAATGTTTTTAGTGTCTACCTTTGTTAAATGTGGTAAAGTGCCTGTTGAGAAATTTGAGGTATTCTGTGTGAAAGAATTAGGGAAGAGCTCTAGGGAGACAGATAGGTAATGCTTATTTTTCTTATTCCAAAAATACATATTGGCATTTTGAAGCAGAATTAGGCAGAAAGCAAATGGCACAAAGTGTCAGCGTTTCTAGAGCCCGAAAAAGGAATATTTGTGAATTTTTATTTTTGAAAGATTAAGCAGATTTCTAAGGGCAGAATTTCTCTTTAATGATTTTAGATAAGGTGGTGAACTTTTTAGTTTATTTTATAAGCTCACGTGTATAAAACATATCAGTCATGTGTCCCTCCCCCCGCCGAGATGGAGTCTTGCTCTGTTGCTCAGGCTGGAGTGCAGTGGTGTGATCTCAGCTCACTGCAACCTCCGCCTCTTGGGTTCAAGTGATTCTCCTGTCTCAGCATCTCGAGTAGCTGGATTACAGGTGTGTGCCACCATGCCCACCTAATTTTTGCATTTTTAGTAGAGACAGGGTTTCACCATGTTGGTCAGGCTGGTCTTGAACACCTAACCTCACGTGATCCGCCTGCCTCAGTCTCCCAAAGTGCTGGAATTATAAGCATGAGCCACTGTGCCTGGCCTCATGGTGGTTTTAATAGACAAATTTTGCAGTTGGTTTAGATGATATATGCACTTGTATAATAGAGTGATTTCTTTATGTTACTTTGTTGTACTGTTTGGAGAAAATATTTAAAAATTTTTTATTTATATGTTATTTATTTACTTATTTTTAGAGACAGGGTCTTACTCTGTTACCCAGGCTGGAGTTCAGTGGCGTGATCATAGCTCACTGCAACCTCAAACTCATGCCTCTGCTTCCCAGGTAGCCAGGGCTACAGGTGCGCACCACCACCTCTGGTCTAGTTTTAAATTTTTTTGTACATACGGGCTCTCCCTATCTTGCCCAGGCTAGTCTCAAACTCTTGGCCTCAAGCAATTCACCTGCTTTGGCCTCCCAAAGTGCTGGGATTACAGCCGAACCACTGTACCTGGCCTGGATAAAATCTTGATTCGTACAGATAAGTAGTTGCAAATGGAAATTGCCTGCTAATGGTTCACCTTTCTGTATCAGGATTTACTTCAATTAAACTACTCCAGAGCATGAAAAAAGAATATTAGGAAATTTTTGTTTCAAAGTTGAATCACTGGCAAATGTAGTAATTCTTTTCCTTATTTAAGTACTCATCAGATTTTTTTTTGAGGTTTCAAAATTTGAGTAGTTTAAATTTTGTAAAATCACATTCAGGCTGAAAATTCACATTTATAATATTTCATAGTTTCCTGTAGAAATGAGCTGGAAGTTTGCTTTGTGTGTGTGTGTATATATATATATATTTTTTTTTTTTTTTTGAGATAGAGTCTTGCTCTGTCGCCCAGGCTGGAGTGCAGTGGCGCGATCTTGGCTCACTGCAACCTCTGCCTCCCGGGTTTAAGCAAGTCTGCCTCAGCTTCCCGAGTAGCTGGGACTAGAGGCATGTACCACCACGCCTGGTTAATTTTTTGTGTTTTTAGTAGAGATGGGTTTCACCGTGTCGGCCAGGATGGTCTGGATCTCCTGACCTCGTGATCTGCCAGCCTCAGCCTCCCAAAGTACTGGGATTATAGGTGTGAGCCACCATGCCCAGTATGTACCTTTCTGATTGAGGGATTTGCAAACTAAAATGACATCATATTAACTAAAATCTAAGTTTTAAGACATTTAAAATAAATAGTTATAAAACCCAAAGTGCTACATTTTTGTTTATTCATAATCCAGATCTGTCAGAGAATCTTCCTCTGTCAGAGATTATCATTCCCTGTTGTTAAATATATTTTGAATGATAAAAATGCTTACTTTAATGTATATAAAAAATTGTCATTGTGTCAAGGGCTTGCAGCTAGGTAGAGAAAAAAGTATAATGATTTTTCATTTGGGTGAGAATTGGGTGGAGCTGCAGACCTGTTTCTTGGGTAAACTGATGAAGCAAGTTGTGAAAGATCTGAAAGGTTTCAGATTTTACATTCAGAAAAGAAAGAGCAAATAAAAACTAGTAAGATGTGATTGAAATTTAGGTAAATTGGGTAATCGTTATGATGGAGCTGTTACTGCTTAGTTGTACATGCGCTATCTGACTGCTATTCAGATTTAACACAAGCAGGATTCAGGGACCAAATTATCTCAGCAGTCAGGCAGTAAGTCTTTCTAGTTGGGGGAGGGGCAGAGCACTAGTTTGGGAAG